TTGGAGTGATCACAAGTGATGGCGATGTCATGCGTACATTCACCTTTCTACAGAGGTCCACATCAAGTGTCTTGAGGAGATAGTGCTGCCTGGGTCAAGAGGGTGACTGCTGGAAGACCATACGTTTGGCCACAGGACTTTGCACCATGACACACAAACAGGAGAACCCAGTCATGATTGTCAGACAATTTTCTGTGACTACATCACTCCTTACATGTGGCCATCTAACTCCCCAGACTGTAACACCCCCACCCCACTTGATTATTGTGTGGAGCACAGTTGAGCAAGAAAAAAAATAAAAAAACTCCTTGCAACCGTACACAAAAGTCACAGGAGATTCCAAAGTCATCTGGAGGCAATGGTTTGAATGGTGATTTTATTGAATAAATTTAGTCTTCAGTATTTTCAAGATATCTTTGTGTAATTTTGATTAATATATCTGTTAAAATGAGATGTCAGTGTCATTTTTGCATAATTTAAATGACAATTTATTCATTGCACCATATATATATATATATATATATATATGATAGAATTTGGAAGAGGTGAATAATCATTCAAAGTAATTCATAGTCTAGAAGAATCCTCAATCGAATGCAGAAAGCACAGTGCTTTCTGCATTCTCTCGAGGATTCTTCTCATTGCTAGCACAAATGAGTTTCATGCACAACGCAATCTCAGGTGATGAGTTGTAGCGAAAGAGATAATCATTTACCCTGAAAAAAGTTTGTGTTCTGTGTGCAATCTGCCAAAGAAAAATTACAAATTTTGATTCCTGGGTCCAACGAAGGGAAATGGAAAGTAATTAATCTTCCAAAAATTGGAAGTGATTAATTTTCCTGGCCTAAGAAAAAAGAATTCTTGTTGAGAATCGAGAATTATCGAGGAACCCAAACCACGTCAGGCCCCACACTGGGTTTTGGTCGGTGTCCATATAAACGAACGTCCCCGGGCAGTTTGGGAGTTGATTTGCAGTTGGAGTTTAGTTCCGGACAGAGTCAGAGTGTTGTCTCGCAGAAACTGATCGAGAAATTCCACGCCCTTCCGACTTCGACTTCCTACCAAAAGCAAGTTATATTGACTAACGACTTAAGATACCAAAACTTGCTTAGGAAACGCAATGTGTCACAAATCCATAGAAACGGGCTGAGAGAGAAACACACACCTGTATATAACAGATGGATAAAGATAATTTGTTATTTCTCAACATATCTGAATCCCTTAGTTTTGTCTTATTGTTTTTTTTTATTTTACTTACGCTTGTGCGATATCACCTTCACCCCAGATTCAGCTTGCACTACGGCCCAACACCCGATTGATTTCGTCTACCTAAGATCAAAGACACAACATGGGTAGGTTAGACTTGAGATCAAAGCAGTTACTCCGGTAACCAGACATTGGAAGTGAGCTGGGAACGACAAAGCTGGTATCAAACCGGGAACGAACAGATTGAGCAGGACACAGGCTGGTGGCAGCGACAAGGAGTCAACTCCAAATGCTGGTGGAAGAAACCTACAGCTTTGCACTGCAACTGGGAGTTGACCACGGGCCGACAGTGCAGTGTCACATATTGGCGTCGCAACCAGAGGATGTCATATATTGGCGCTGCGACCACCAGTAGGTATCACAATTAGGTTTTGATCTGCTCCTTGGGATGGACATTATGGAGCTGGGCGGCGTACGCATCACAAAGACGGGCTAAGTCAAGTTTCCTGATCTGCTCATCTGTGCTGCTTTGAGGATCAACGAGCCTGACTTTAGCACAGAGTTTGACAAAAGGACGAAGACATGGACAGCACTGGGGAAATGGTCAGTAAATAACCCACCAGAAAAGCTCCAGAACTGAGTGTCAAATTATTCGGTGCCCAAACCTCATCAAGGAAGAATACCAGCATGAATTGCAGGTGTGGCTGGACAATGGATGGCTGACTCTGTATTCTGAGAAAGAGCTTGATCCTCCAAAAGGCCGTGGTACAGAAGAACAATGGAAAGGTGCGCCCTGTACGAGATTATAGAGAACTGAACGAACATGTAGACACATACACGGCTCATGCTGATGTGTGTGCACAAAAATTGAGAGAATGGAGAAGAAAGGGGTCCAATGTCTCTGGGATAGACCTTCGAAAGGCCTACTTGCAGGTACGCATGCACCAGTCACTGTGGCCATTTCAGATGGTGATACTTAATGGGAGGAGATACTGCTTAACGTGAATGGCATTCGGGCTCAATGTGGCACCGGCCATCATGGATGCTGTGCTGTCCAGGGATGAGACAATTCGTCAAGCGACGTCAGCTTACATTGACGACATCTACATCAACGAAACCTTAGTGCCCGCTGCACAGGTGAGAAAGCATCTTGTGGACTTTGGGCTCAAGTGCAAGAACCCAGAACATCTGGAGGAGGATGCTCGTGTGCTCGGCTTGCAGGTCTGGGGGGTGCACAACGTGCTTTACTGGAAACGTGGAAGTGAGCTCCCAGACATATGACATGATGCAGCGTGTTCTCATTATGTGGAAAGCTGGTGGGACATTTTCCTGTGAGCAGTTGGATCCACATTGCAACTGTATTTATCAAACGTAGGGTGACTGCTGTCACTTCCGGCTGGGATGACAAAACAGATGATGCTTCCCTTAGACACATGATAGTGGAAATCATTACCAGGGTGCGTCAAAATGACCCCGTATGTGGTAAATGGTGTGTTGGCAGATGTGAATTTGACATCTGGGTTGATGCAAGCTCCCTTCCAACAGGAGCGTGTCTTGAAATAGATGAAACTGTTGTGGAAGATGCGTGTTGGTTGCGTCCTGAGAAGGATACACAGCATATCAACCTGTCGGAATTAGACGTCATTATCAAAGGAGTAACCGCGGCCCTTCAATGGAATGCAAAGGTGTTGCATTTACTCACAGATTCCGCATGCGTGCATAGGTGGATAGCAAACACTCTTACAGGGAAGGCTGTGAGTGAAATGCTCATTCGAACGCGGCTAGACACACTGGGAAAGTTGGTAAGTGAGTACAACTTGGCAGATACTTCAACAAGGGTACCCCAGAGATGGCTTGACGCTGTTAAGAAAGAGGCAGAGCTGGTAGGACATGTCTGTGCAGCATCAGCGAGTGACCGTAACTCAGATTTACTAAAATCTGTGCATTGCCAAAGCAGACATCCCGGTGTAAAACAGACCCTATATTTCGTGAGGCAGATTGATCACTCCATATCCAAAGCTGCTGTCAGAGCAGTGGTCAGAGAATGCAAGGAGTGTCAGTCTGTGAACCCAGCACCTGTGCAATGGCCAAAAGGACAACTGATTGTGAGCAAAGTGTGGCACTGTGTTGGAATGGACATCACCCATTATAATAGAACTCACTATCTAACCCTAAATGACTGTGGCCCAACCCGGTTCACTATTTAGCGACGTTTGCGTCGACAGGATTCCAAAAGCATGATTGACCACTTGCGAGCATTGTTCTTTGAACGTGGACCTCCAACAGAACTCCTCACTGACAATGACACTGCATTCCGCAGTGTACTATTTAAAGATTTTTATGGATCTGTTGGGAGTACACCTCAGATTTCGCTATGCATATGTCCCATCAGGAAATGGCATGATCGAGCGATGTTATCGGAGCATCAAGAAAATCGCTGCTAGGAAGCAGTGTTCCATAATGGAGGCGGTGTATTGGCACAAAAGACAATGTATCACCCTCAACTGCACCAGCCAACATGATTTACCGGTACAAAGTCCGGCTAAGAGGCATTGACGCGACGTGTTCAACTGAACATATAAAAGAATGAGCACCATATGACCTGGGTGATCGCGTGTGGGTGAAGGCTCCACATAGCCAGTGTACAACTCGGAACTGGGTGGGGCATGTCACTGGAATAAGTAACTCGCACTCTGTGCTGGTTGATGAAATACCAAGACACGTAAAAGACTTGTGTCGCTATGTAGGTTCAGATACTTCAACAAGTGACACTAGCAGTGAGTGCTCAGGAAGTGAACGAATAATAACCATTGGAGTTAGGGCTAGCACCTTTTCAGATGGTGAAGACTGTGCATGAGGTTGTCAGATCGGAAGAATCTTCAGAAGACGAGTCTTCAGAACATACCACACAATCCCCTCCAACAGTCGCCCCACTCCGGAGAAGCTCAAGAATAAAGAGGCCTGCCTCTGAGTGTCACTTATGTGACAGTGGGGAGTGTAGTGAAAGAGATAATCATTTATCCCCCCCCACAAAAAAAAAGTTTGTGTTCTGTGTGCGATCTGCCAAAGAAAAATTACAAAAAGTAGTTAGCAAAAATTTACTTCAATGACTAGAATCTATGCTAATGTTCTCCCCTCCCCTGAATGGCATGACCAATCAAAAAGATCTCTCGATGAACCAAAGCTGCTGTTTTTTTGCTTATAAAGGCAGAAGATTTCATGAGCTGGTGAGCAGAGCACGCGTTTTTTGCTTGTGAGACGGGAAGGTTGGATGTGTGACCCCATTTTGTCGTTTCTACTTTGTTTGTTGGACTGTTATGATGGGTTACTGTTTGAACTGCGATTTGGCTACAAATAATGTGGTTGAGAAACAAGAAATCTATTGCAGTTGCTACTATAAGTTGACAGTCACTTTTCTTTTCTTTAACATGAGTATGGATTGACATGTGATTTGAATTTAATATATATATATATATATATATATATATATATAATCATAATGTTGGCACAGTTAGATATTGGGATTAGAGTTTTTAATTTTAAAAAAATTATATTTAGCAATTAAAATAAACAGGATTTGTATATATGTTTAAAAAAAGAGAAAGAAAAATGTTACTTGTTCTTATTTAAAGACTAAAACATAATAATAGCTCTGTTCTATTATATAAAGTCCTGTTTTATTAACACCAGCACTATATTTGCAAAAAAAATTATATATATATATATATATATATATATGGGTTATAACTTTTTTATAAAATAGTTGATTCCTCTCATAATTCAATGAATTTTTGTTTGGAAATTTTTTTTTTTTTTAAATGTCACCTATCTTGTGTGGTTCTTAGCAATTTTCTCCCTTGGCTAAGCCACCCCACCCCCAATCACCTGATCTGCCATCCATTCATACAAGATCATCAGTTTGCTAAGATTTAGAAACAGTTTCAAAAAATTCATATGTCAAATATAAATATGATTACAAAATTTAAAATATTATGGATTACTTATAATTGCATGCATGAGTCCCTGTATAAATAGTTATAAATAATTACTGACAGATTTTATCATTGTGATATTTTTGCATTATATCAAGTATTAAGAATATAGTAGTTAGAGTCTGCAAATTGGAGGAGAGATTTATCAATGATAATGTTCTGACTTTGAATCCACGGTTATCTCCCTTTAACCCTCTGTTTTTTTTTTTATTTTTAAATATCCTTTTTATCACATAAAATTTGGTGAGGCACAAGCCAATTTTTATTATGAAAATGCAGCCAAGAGAAAAAAAGTTTAGGAATCACTGTTCTAGAGGAAATAATGGCAACAGAATGAGATACCAAAGCAACTGACTTATTTACCAATTCCATATTTTATTATAATGTTGAATAAATTTGTTATATATATGCCACTTCTCTCAGATAATATATTTTGATTTATACATAATTAATAGCTTTTATTTTAATACATAAATAATATCTTTCAGTGATAATAAATTATTTTCAACCTTTAAATACTATATCTGACAAAAAAGTCCTCTCTTAAGCACCCTCTGCCTTATAACCTAAGAAGTGGGTTCAGGTATGCCTTTGTAGAGATTTCAAGTATTACATTAATTACCTTAACCCACCTGTTTAACACACTTGTTTCCTGATGTCAGATGTGAAATATAATTAGGATTATTTTGATTTATAATCAAAATAATGTTAATATGAATTAGTTTTAGTTTTGTAGACATATTCCTTACCAAATTACATGGGAATAAATACAGTAAACATTAAAAAAATACAAGTAATAAATATTTGAATTAATCCAGATATAATAAAATATTTCCAGAAAGTCATGCAAGAATTTCTAATTATCTTAATATCAAAGTTTGTTTTTTAAAAAAAAAAAAAAAAAAAAAAAGAATGTAAAAATATATTAAGTGAGTGCAGTTGTTAATTTTACTGACCCAAAAGATATGTAAGCACCAAGTTGTTGATCAGACTACCAAGCCATGCCAGAAAGGACATCAACCCCATGGTTACTGCGAAAAACTAAAAAGCAAGAAGAAAAACAAAATTATGGCCTAAACAAACAAAACCAGCCGTTATTAATATTTGATTAGAATGAAACAGGAAAGATAAAAATGATGTCATTGTATTTTTTCTGTGCCTCATAACTGATATTGAAATAGAAAGTTATTTAAATAAACTGAAAAATGTTTCCATTGTACAACATAAAACACACATGAAAAGTGAATTAAAAGTATTTAAGTAATCAAGTCAGATTTAATCCTAAAAAGATTAGCTTTTATCTTTGAATGAAATAGTCAAAAGGTGCTAAAGAACCAAACTCAAAACTTTTACTTAGGCTGGGTAGGTAAAAATATATTAGGCTGTTCAGAAAGTAATTAAAAGATATAAAAACAAGTTTATTTAAATATTATTTATCAAAAATCTAATCACCTTCATTTTCAATGATTGCAACCCAACAGGAAGGCAAATTTTCAAGCTTACATTTAAAGAAATCCCTCTCACAATATTTGAACGATTCTTTTCATTTTTCTTTACAAGTGTTCTGCCACTTAGGAAATTGTTTAATGATCAAAACAACTGAAAATCTATACTCATTAAATCTGGTAAATATGGAGGATGTGGAAGAACCTTCAATCCTAACAGTTTTAGGTTTGTTTTGCAGATTGTGATCTTGCAGATTGTGATCTTGCATTGTCATGCTGGAGAGTAACATGATCTCCATTTGCCAAAACAGAACACTTTTGACATAATGTTTTGTTCAATAAACATTTCCGAGTGATAATTTTTTACGTTTTATGTAGATTGTAATGGACGATATCTTTTTTTTTTTTATTCTATCAGACACAAAGCAAGGACTTCTGCAGATAGAGCCCTGATTGTGGTGTTGGCATTGGTTTTCCATTTTGTGATAACCAGTCTTTTTGTTTTCTCTTGACATTAGCATTTCTGGTTAACAAATACTGCAAATGGTGAAATGTTATGTTGATTTCTCAAGTGAAACCTTATGAGGAACACAGATTCCCTCAATGCAAGTGTTCCTAATTTTCTTAAGATGTTTGTGGCCAGTTTAACATTAAAATCTTGCACTAAATTTCTAATACTTTCACATGGATCCAATTCAATAGACTCGTTCTTAATTCAAAAGTGAGTAATCTTCCCACTTGCTGTTTTTAAACCCCAACTGACATGTACAAGCCTTCACTGCATCCATATACACAGCACAAATGTTCTTAAATGACTGTGGCAATATTACCCTTTTCAAATTTATACTGTAAGCATTGGTAAATATCTCGGTTTGACAACCCTTTATTGTTGTCATGTCTATAAACATATCTATCACTTCTAAAACTCACACACCACTGGCTCTGAGCTCTGTCTCTTCTCTTTTTCCTCAGAGTTGCAAGTTTGGTTGAGTAATACCAGTTGTCTTTTCCAGTCTTGTTTGGGGCTAGTATGTTGTCTCAATAGGGTTGATTCACATTTCCCAAAATTTTATGATATTGGGATGGACGGTGAAGTCCAATATGAACCCACTCCAATACACATTGTGTACTATAGACAAAATCGCACATCAGATTTCAGGCCGGAATAAGAACTCCTTCATGGAAAGGCATAACACACTGTTGATGGCTCTAACAGGAGGTTTATTGAATATAAAGAAAAACTGGTCAAATAAAATGTCTATTTAGCTAATGCAAATCAAAATAGTCTAATGAAGGAATGGTAATTTGGAGATTCTGGCTGTAACAATTGTCCAGTCAATAGATTCTCACTCAATTCTTCGGTTATGTGTGTGTCTGTGTTTTTGCACCAGACTGGAAAATGTAGGTGTGCTCTTTAGTGGTGACTGTCTTACAAGCAATTTCAGGCCATTCAGAGCCACCAAAGTGTGGGTGTGCCCCTGGTGTCTGACATCTGCTCTACACTTGGGAAAAATAACCACCAAACGAAATGTATCCTGGCTTTAAATAGAGAAATCTCTTTGAATAACAGTAATTGATGAATTCCTTTCCCTAAACAGGTGACAGAAAATGACAATTCCAAAGACCAAATTTCATTATCTCTATATTACCATAAATTAACTAGCTCTTCTCATCCACACCAGAAATTCAAAATAATGGCAACTATAAAAACTGCAGATGATTGTTGCAGAAAAAGGCACATCTTAATCTTAGGCAATCTTGCTAAGTGGCTATATGCTATTTCCCTTGTATATTCAGTCTTCCTAATTATCTTTCTATAACAATACTTGTTTCCTGAGTGGGTCAACATAACAAATTCCCTGGTTAAACCTGATATTCCCTGCTTCTTTGTCCAGAATAATTCACATCATTTTCTTGCTATAACCACACATTTTTTATTGATACCATATTGTAAACATCCATTTTCTAGTTTCTCAGGATCCAAGCAATTCAGAAAATACATTAATCATGTCTGTCTCTTATTGACAAACAGTGGATACGGTTGGTTTTGTCCAATCTTACTGAATTTTGTCTCGTTAAATCAGGGTTCAATTCTCCTTGGAATTGTTCTTAATTTCATTTTATTATTTTAATACATAGATTTTAATGTTTTGTTTTTAATTCTCTTCTCAACCATTCAACCCACTCTCCTGAGAATTTTAACAATTATCATCCAATTAGTAGTCTTTCTAAATCACCATCCTGTAATTTCACACATTTAAACGTTCAGAGCCAGTGACATGTTTCATTTTTTTTAAAGTTATAATTCTCCAGGGATTAAAGTCTGAAATGCTCTATAAATGACATACTGTTGGATAGAAGAAATGATAAACTAATTCTACATGCAGTTTTGTACCACTCAACCTTGGTTCTGCCATGACTGGTTGGCTCATAATTCCTAGAGGTGAAAGATTTCCATATAGAGGTGAAAGATTACTTTCCAAACACTATAATACATAACTCAGAGCATGATAAAATGAACAATACCCAATTTGGATATTGTCACAAACACACATTTTATTTTGTTGCTTTCCAAAGTTGTTAATTCTGTTACAAGATGAGATCTTTCCCTGCTTCGATAAACGGAAGTTACCATCACGAGTCCCCGACTCGAAATGAAAACTGCACGTCTACGCATAGGCTCGACGCAGATACTTCCGTTTGGGATAAACTCAAAAAAAAAAAAATGAAAGAATTAAATCAACCAATTGGACCGTCTCCCGCGTAGTCAAAAAAATTGCCATCTGGAGCCGATAGGCGTGTATAAGTTCAACACGGGAAAGTCAAAAGGAAGCCCATTCAACGGCGGAGGCAGAAGGGTCACGTCACTCGCTCCTGACACATTGGCCCGGTGACAAAACGAAGCATGTGACCGCTGCTGCTAATGAACTCTTGTCCGACGCTTTGTTTAAGGGCACCTTTCCCCTTCCATAAGTCAAGTTAACTCCACGAACTTTACTTGCCACTACCATAGACATTCAACTTCTTAAATACAAACTTTTTACTTGTTCTTATATTCCTCACTAAAAGAGACTATAAAATATATCTACAGTCTTTCTTGTTCTTTCGATTCTGAATTTCATTGTTTGCAACCAAACGCAGTATTTCGCCCACATTGTTTACACATCGCCCATGCAACTAAATACGGAATATAACAATTCTTTTGATTTTTAAAAAAAGCAGGTTTCATATTGACTTACCACTTTGGGTTTCTCTTCTTTGAGTGAGATCATTACGTCTCTAGCATTGATAAAATGGTCCTTCACATGCATAATCCGTTCACATATTTGCTCAAATTGTTGCTCTTCTATCACAGTCCTGCAATGACAAAAATAATTTGGTAACTTTAAAAAGAACACTTATTACTATCTTAAAATTTGCCAGTGTTTTAATAGTTTTCAAATAAAACAATCAGGCTTTTCTATTCTGGGTTATTTCACAAAAAAGAAAAGCCTTATTCAAAGATTCAAAATTTCACAAAAAAAAAAAAAAAAAAAAAAACTACATTAATACCAAAAGCATGGGTGGGTGTGTGTTGGCTAGCCTGACCAGAAGTGACCAGACAATATGAGCCTTACCACACACTGCTTATACTGGTGCTCAAGACTGTAGGATGACAAGTTGCAAGGTCATTCCCACACTTGGTCAATACTGTCACTGGTCAATGGGTCATTGGTTACCTCAGTTCACACTTTGCTCTGCCCACGTATTTCTTGATCACAGAGCCATGTGGACCAAGTATCGTCAGTAATTGTAGCATTGGTTCGAACCAGTGAAGCTGTGTTATGAAGTAAAGAAAAAAAAAAAAAAAAAATGTCTTCACAGACAAAATAAATTCTTTGGGTTAATTTTTGATTAGGTTTATGTAGGTCTTTGTGTAACAAAAATTAACCCTTCCCACTAAAATCTTTATAGTGATACTTTTCCTATCAGTGCTAATTTTTGGAACAGGGCTCAAAGTCGGGAATTCTCTTAATAACAAGTCATGTGGATTTCAGTAGCTCTTTGCTGCTGTCTCTTGTCTCTCTCTGGTTGCTTAAATCCTCTGCTTATATTGACTTCAACTAAAAAACACCTCTGACAGACTTTTATTTGTATGGAAAAATCAGTTTAGACTCCTACTTCTGAGAAAGACGTGAACCTATGTTTACCTGCACTATTCCCTACCCAGTATATATTTTGAGGATGAGAAGTCACCAATGGCGTATCACAATATATAAAAAAAAAAAAAAAAAAAAAAAAACTACCTGAAGACTGAGAGAGACAATTATTAATTGAAATCAAATAGGAAAGATGGAAAAAACACAAAAGATGATTTCACAACAAATTTCAAAATAGACAAATATATTGTTGCATAAGAATACATCATAGAAATCTTCTTAAAAAGACAGGAATGTTGGGATCCTTGGCAAAAGAGTGTAATATTGAATAGGATTACATTTTCATGGGAAATTCTGTAACTAATTCTGAGCACTTGTAACTGGAAAATTGGTTTCATTAGTTTTTCAAGTTATTGATTTTTCTTCCTAAATGACCACTGTATATACGAAGGAACGTGTGTAAAAAGACAAAAAAAACAAAAAAAAAAAACAAAAAAAAAAAAAAAAACAAAAAACAAAAAAAAAAACAAAAAAACCAGTAAATGAAGCCTGTAGGTCTTAGTGAGGACCACCCTTCTTCAAATTTAATTAATTTCATGGCCAGATATTGAGATGAATCTGTGGGACATAGCGAGTGACAGCATATTCATATACAGCCAAACTTAGATGTCATCACAGATGGTGCAATGACATGCAGAAACATTACCACCAGATAATAAACTTTTGGGTTACCATTTATTCTAATATTTAAAGAAATATCTTAGTGAAAAATAACTTTTGATTCCCTGGAAGACTGTGAAATGCACTTTGAATTGTTTGCTGAGAACGAACATATTCTGTGAGGTTAAGAGTTATAGAATTACATGAAAAATGGCAGAAGATCCAAATGGAAACTTGGTTGTTCAATAACGTTATAGAAAATTTTTATGTTTTACTTAATAATTCCCAGATGGCACTTGGCTTGGCTGCCACAGGCCATACATACCTCACCCATTCATACATGCTGATGAATGAAGATCAACCAACATGTGCAACATGCCAAGCCACAGTGAAAGACATTTTTAACAGAATGTTCAATCTTAAAGAAATAAGTTTATAAGAAAACATAACACCTACAACAGATCAGGTACAAAGTACATATCTACAAAATCTGAAAATATAAAAATTATGTACAAAATCTGTAGTTGAAGATATACAATTGTGTTCAAAATATATTTAATCGAAGCCAAAAAACTGTGTTCAAAATATTTAGATTTCAGCATTAACTAATCCATAGAGGTGTTGATATGTCACTAAACAAAATCAATCAGATGACACTGAAAAATAAATATCGTCTTTTCTAATGAAAATCACTGCTGATATAAGTCATTCAATTTTGCATAAATCAAACATCGCTATATGCACAGTAATTACAAAAACTGCCAATGTACGACATTTCTATTATGTGTCAGGAATAAACATCAGGAATTTATTTATAAAACTGTGTATTGTGAGTGTCAATGACTTAAAATAGTTTTAATCTAATAAATTTTTGAAACTGTTTTTGTTAGCATCTTGCATAAATGAATCACCAAATGGTAACTGCTCTGTGATAAAAGTAAGATCTAGATGACAGACTTTAGTTTTGGTTGTTTGTGGGCTAAGATTTAAATATGATGATTTGCCCTAAGGGCAAATCATGCCAAATTTTAGTGACATTTCTTTACTCTTTTGCTGACAAGAGATGTTCTTTTCAGGAGTACTTTTTTTTGTTGTTCTTGTGCTAAGCAGCTTCCTCGTCAGGATCTTCTCTAATGTCTGTTAGTATTAAGCAAAATTCAAATATCTACACTAATGAAGCATACTGATATAGAAGCGTATGTATATGCTCCAGGGTAGTAGTTGCATATTCAAAATACTCAGCCTTTTACTCATTCTTATAAATTGCATAAAGCAACAAGTAGTAAGGAAAAATACATACAATATTTTCTTTCATGTTTTTTTTTTTTCCTTTCTTTTTCAAACATTACTTCTATAAAACAGAGGTGGGTGTCTTACCATTTCAACCAGCTCTTTAAGAAACAACTTCATTTCCAAGGTTATCCCAACAATAGCAAGGTCAATGAAAGACTGTATTATATACAATGTTTCCCTGTGTATTTAGTAACTTATAAAAATACATGTATAGCCACACACTTGTTTGCTGGGTATGTGGTGCTGCCTGATAATATTTGGATAAAGTTTAGGTACAAAAAAAAGAAAAGATCTTACATACCAAAATAAAAAAAAATATATTCAAAAGTTCTGCCAGATATCTCCCACTCTTAAGTCTTTATAACCACTCGCCTCAAAAATTTTAAGAATGCATTTCCTCATTAGAATTTAAAAGAAAAGAGGAAGCATTCCCTGAGGTTTTCAACTCCTAAAAAGAGTTATAGACATTTTGGAGATCCATCAGTTTTAATACAAAATCTTGTTTTATTCTGTAACACATGGTGGTAGGAGGGGGACATAAACACATTTCCAAGTAAGAATTGGTGTATTTTAAGGGAAAGTGAAATAATGATTGTGTGCTTACACTGGTGAGGTTTATGTTTATAGTTAGAGCTTTAGACTAAATATATTTCATGGAATAAATAAAAACAGTTGGTTGCTTTTGTTTAGTGACAGTTGTATCTCATGTTTTCGAGATAACAGAGAGAAATAAGGAAGACAAACTTGTAGGTAAGTAATGAAATAGAAGATTTACTACACCAACATACACTTAGCAAATGACCTAATGCTAACTCTGCTCAACTGCTTATTTACATAAAGAGCTGATTCCATCCATTTATGTCCTATATGACTATGGGTTAATACCGAAATCTAAATATTTTATATGCAACTTTATTTTATTTTAGAGCTAATTATGATTTAGTGATACACATCGTACTAATTAACCCATAGCTGGGGAGAGAAGAGGTGGATTCATACCTTTTCCAAGGGTATTTGCATACAAGTGAATATAATGAATTCAACTGGAATTGGAACTTGGTTCTACAATTAACAATTCCAAACCATTATGCATTACACTGTCTGCACATCCAAGTTTACAGCATCTTGTATTCCCAAGTCATCACCCATCTAGATACTGACCAGACTTGACATTGCTTAACTTTGGTGATTGTATAGGAACCAGTGTTTCAACGTGATGTAGCCATTAGCCAAGAAATAAAAACAGAGATTATGAAAAGAAATGTGCCATCACATCCATAATCACAAAAGACCTTATGAAAAAAATCAGTAGTGTGCATCATCCTTCCAAGATGACACGTTTTCAGTTTTGTGCAGATCACATTCTAAGTGCCAATTAAAAGTCCTTGAAACTTTATCATTAACTCAAGACAACTGTCTTTACATAAATAGAAGGAATGGTTATTAGGACTGAATGAAATTTGTTTATAAAAATATATCCATATTCTCAATATATTCCTGAGATGGATGCATTTTCTTCACATTTTCCCTTTTTAGTTGGTACACAGAAAAATTTTACTTTCCTCGATCGTCTGTTGATGAGCAAGGCAAGATAACCAGTTAACTCATTCCATTTTTTTTCTTCTTCATATTCTTGTAGTGCCGACAACAGTAGCTTTAGTTTTTCTCTCTTTTAATGTTTTTATGAATTCATTTTCTATGGTTTATCAACACTATGTAGATTATTTAAAGCCGGAAAATATTTTTAGATTGTGTAGTTGACTTTTGTAGTCATTTTTTTCTGGCTTGAAAGCAATTTGCATAATCAGTTTCCTTTAACCAACACAGTAGCAGTAGCCGAACAATCCACAAACATCAACTGCAACATGTCTTCTGTTCGCTACTGCAGTTGTACTTCATCTCCCAGGTGCCTCTTTTGATTGACAGTTAAAATTTACCCATGTTAAAAGAGATTTCAGCTAGAGTCCATCTGAATCCAAGATTTGTGTTAAATGTATAACTTGTGAAGCTGCCATGTTTTTTCCAGATACTTTACATGCAAGACACATCCGAATCCATTTTTGTCCTGGAGGTAAACCATTTTCTCTACTGTTACAGATTTTAAGAATTTTTTTTTTTTTTGAGAATGGTTTTAGTGATACAAGTCTTACTAATTAACCCATAGATGAGGAGAGAAGAGGTAGATTCATACCTTTCCCAAGGTTATTTGTGTATAAGTGAATATAATGAACCTGACTGGAATTAGAACTCACCTCTCCAAATAAA